TTCAGAAATTTTTCTTATTAGATGATTGATGTTCCACATCTTCAAATAAGAAATTGAATTTTTTAAAAACATGATTTTGGTTTCAGAAAAAGAAATAACAGTCACCCATGTTATTTACAAATAAATCCAGAAATATTCACTTAGGGCTAACCAAAGAAGTAATCCCAGAACCTCATGCACTACTTTAAATTCAAATAGAAGAGTTAAAAAAGGTTATGTAGGGGTGCCTGGGTGGCTCAGTGGGTTAAAGCCTCTGCCTTCGGCTCAGGTCATGATCTCGGGGTCCTGGGATCGAGCCCCACATTGGGCTCTCTGCTCAGCGGGGAGCCTGCTTCCTCCTCTCTCTCTGCCTGCCTCTCTGCCTACTTGTGATCTCTGTCTGTCAAATAAATAAATAAATAAAATCTTAAAAAAAGAGGTTATGTATTCTATCTTTACTTAACAGACCTCTTAGCTTATAAGTAATTAGATCTGTCAGAGAAAACAAAAAGCAAAATACATACCACTGCACAAAGTGCGTGCTTTAAGAGTCGAAATATTGTTTTGTCCATATAAGATAACCAAGCTCTCTGTATCCTTTGAGCTGAAATATTTTTCACAGCTCTGAGAAGAAAAACAAGAGGTTAAGATTAGTGAAGTAGTTTTCATTTTCCTAAAATCTTGGGGAACTCTACATTTCTGCTTCTACCACCTGAACCTTCCTGTCCACTACCCTAAGACTGACCTAATGAGGAACACTGGGATGTGGTTATTGGAACTGGTCATTTGCAGAATCTAGTCAAATGAGGATATAAGATATTTGAGAAGCCTTCCCTTGGGATTAAGGAAAAAAAGGCCTAAAACTTTATCAGCAAAAGGCATATATAACTAAAAATGTAAGAAGAGACAAATTTGCTTTCTAAAAACATCCATGACCTAAAATGATTCCATTATAGTTAGTTCTTAAGAACACTGTCCAACTAGTCCAAGTGCTATGAAAATAGAATGTAGAATACTCAAAAGTTACAGTAGGTCCAATTCTTTTCTGGGAACAGACAACCAGGCCCTAAAAAAAGAAACTCCTTTCTCTGATCTTTGCTTGAAACAGGCTCATCCCAGTCAGGTCAGAGAATGATCTCACTTTGGATCACATCTCAGCACTAGGAGATCATAGGGATCACCCTCTCCAAAACCACCCAGATCCGTTCTTACCCCTCACAGGGCTACATGTGAAGAGAGGCAGATACCCATGAATAATGTCACCATTGGTTGGCAAAATGCAAACTCCAAGATGTAGAGTAGAAAAGGCCTGATGTATGGAAACAAAGCTTTAAATCCTGGCTGATGCCATTTATTAGCTGTTTAACCTCATGCAAATCACTTACCTTCTCCCAGTTGCTGCTTCCTCACTTATAAAATATAATAATAAGACCGCTTCACAGAGTTGTCAGAATCAAAGAAAGTGTGTTAACACGCTTTGCAAATTATGAAATACTATAATTATAATAATTACTATTCAATTCAAAAGTAATTTTAAAACACACCAAAAAATCTCTAATTTACAAAACAAGAAGTGTTTGATGTTAGCTGGGTAAATACGGTATGGAAACTGACCAGTTGTGGCAAACGATAAAGGGTGAAAGATGGCTACTTACTCTTGTATTGCCCTTCTCTTTCCAATATTGGACAAATACATTCTGTAGTCTTTTCCTGAGCGAGGTTTATCTGATTTTCGAACTGATGCCTTTGAAGAGCGCTTCATTTTCCTTGCGATGAAGAGCTCTGAAAGTACATAGGTTTAGCATTTGAGGTCATAATCTTTTTGCTGCACTGTTTAGACAAGACTCAAGTGCCGTATGATTTTTTTTCAAGTGCCATATGATTATTGAGCTAATTCCAGAACCCTTTACAAAGGAAGGTATCATGGATCTCTTAATGTTGCTTACAGCTTACATGCCTTAGGTGCTAAAAATATTCTGAGGGACATGGAAAAGAAAAGTGTATCTGTCCATAGCCTTCTAACTGGTCCCCCAGTCTCCAGTCTCTGTATCCTTCTGGTCCTCCTCCACACCACAGCTCGAGTTAATTCTCCCATCCAAGTACTAACCAGGCCCGACCCTGCTTAGCTTCCGAGATCAGACGAGATCGGGTGCGTTCAGGGTGGTATGGCCGTAGACAGCTTGAGTTAATTCTATAGCACAATAATCCAGCTATCTGACTGCCCAGCATAAAATCTTTCAGGGACACTTCATTTCCTCCACACTGAAGTGCAGACTCCTTCGAATAGTATTCCAGACTTTTTTTCAATCTACAGTCCACTCTCTCTTTCAAATATCAAAATACCACCGTTCACCAGCATTCCTCTCTAGACTCCGTGAGAACAAGAACTTCTCACGAAAATCAGCCCATGTTTTTCAACTCTGTGCCATTGATCATGCCATTTCCCCTTCCTGGAGTGACTTCCCTACTGCCAGCACACATCAATTCATCTTTCAAGACCCCAGCTAATTGATGCCTCTTCTCTGAAGTTTTCCACCCTCTCTTTTTCATACAACTCTTCACCCTGTCTCCAAGGTCCAATAATAATGGTTTTTCTTTCACAGTACTTCTCATATTATGTCATGATGTATTTTCTTGGCTGTCACCCCACCAAGCTCATTGAGGGCCGGAGGCATCTTGCTAACTATGGAATCCTCCATCACTAGCAAGAGTGGAGAATTTTTATATGCTCGTCTAAGAACTTTCTGTCCTGGTTTTATCATGGAATAGTCGTGAGACTTTGGGCAAGTTCTTTAACCTCTTGGTACCCCAGTTCTCTCTGTGGTAAAGTGAGAGGGTGTGTACTAAATGAACCGATTCCACCTTTGGTTTTCTATCCTTTGATGCATTACTCCGATTTGGATATGGTTCAAAATTCTTAGTCACTGCTTAGTCTCATCTACTAAAGCAGGGGCTCTTCCTTTTCTTCTGGTGCCATGGATCCCTATGGACAGATTCCCAAGAATTACGTTTTTAAAATGCATAACATAAAACACATAGGGTCACAAAGGACTCTATATTGAAATCTCTGTCAAAATATTTTCAAAAACAAAACTACAGGAATCTGTCCTCTTTAGGCATTATATAAAATGAGTGCTCTAATAACTACTATACTTTTGAACTGGTAATGAGCAGAAATGCTATGTCAGGAAGTGTGCCATGACTGTGACACTATATGGAAATATCTGTGCTTTCTACTAGTGACAAAGTCCCAGATATCGTTGAGATTACTGTGCTTTGTTGCTTACACTATAAGTGAAAGAAATATTAAAGTTCAGTTAGAGATGAGTGAAAATAAAGTAATTTTTTCCCCATCTAAGTTCATATAACCCTTGAATTAAGAACTCCTGCCCTGGGGCGCCTGGGTGGCTCAGTCAGGTTGAGCATCCAACTCTTGCTTCCAGCTCAGGTCATGATCTCTTGGGTCGTGGGATCAACCAGGAGTCTGCTTGAAAATTCTCTCCTTCTGCCCCCAGCCCTGCTCTCTCTCTCTCTTTCAAATAAATAAATCTTTAAAAAAAAAAAAAGATGTAAGAGCTCCTGCCCTAATTTATCACTATACTTCACACTTTTACATACGTGTAACATTCCATTACAAAGGCAGAGCCTTCAGAGTTTTATATTTGTCCTTGGGGATAGGGATGGGGATGGCTTGGAACATAAAATTCTCTTGAGAAACAGAAAAGCAGCCTTTAGCATCTGGGAGTTGGCCTGGCACTCACAGCTGGGCTTTGGTACCATCCTGGCTTCCTAACAACACTCAAACCAGAGCAAAGCCTTGCTTCTTTGAATTCACCCCCAAATCAACCAACCAAAGTCCAAATCTTTTTTTTTTTTTTTCAAGGAGGCTGCACGCCCAGCATGGAGCTCAACGGGGGTCTTGAACTCAAGACCCTAAGATCAAAACCTGAGCTGAGATTAAGAGCCGGATGCTTAACTCACTGTGCCACCCCAGGGGCCCCAGCCCAAATCTTACAATAAATCTTTCTATCTCCCTCCCTCGCTGAGATGCCCCGCTGTGCCATGTTGTGTGTTTTCCTCGCAGCAATGAGGGATAATAAACCCAACTGTTCACCTACAGATGTGTTCCTAGTGGTCTTTGGCTGAAGGGCAGTGACGCGGCCTCACACAAGCCTCCCTAATCTTTTGGATGCCCGCCTGAATGAATTTACACTTTCTATGAGGTGAAGACATGTGATACAGATCGAAATATGAACCCCCCCCAACTATGAGACAGTATAACAATTATTTAGGCGACATCACAGGCTTTAAAGGCAGACTACCTAGGTTTGGATTCTGGGTTCCCACTTTTTCCATGTGGCCTCGTACAAATTACTTCTCCGTGCCTCAGTTTCCTCATCTATTAGATTGGGAATAATAATCGGTACTCACCTACCTGGGTTGTTGGAAAGATTAGATGAATATGAGTAAGGAATTTAGATCAGAGCTGAGCACATAGTAAACACTGTGTTAGTGTTTTGGTATTCTTGTTAATTAGATCATTATTCTCATTACTACCTTTTCTAGTAGTATTAAGGGACATTTGACTCCCAGAGAGGGGTATATGCTTAAGTATTTTAAAGGGGAAAAAAAAGTCAGGGCCTTTCGAGACCAAAGGATATGGCAAACTAGATTAAATTTAAAACCTTAGGAACTTCCAGCCCACGGAAAAAATAAATTTGAAAACCTTTTGTGAGATAATTCCAGGCCCCAGGGGTCAGCAGCTTCCGGCTATGAGACTTTCAAAGATGCCGGAGACCAGCCGAGCGCCCCCGCCCGGTGGCCTCGGCTATCAGAATTCCCAGCCCACGCTGTGGGGCGCCCAATCGCAGCAGCGAAGGCCGATTCCCAGCGCGGCGAGAAACCCGGCACCTCCCTCTTCGCGCCCCCGCGTACCGCCTACACTGAGCTGGCGCTTTCCTGCCGCCTAGCAACGGCCGGCGCAGGGGCGGAGCCTCCGGGGGGCGGGGCTTACATTCGCTCCCGCCTGAGGAGCGACGCGTTTGCAGCTCGGCGACGCCGCTCCCAGACCAGGCTTCCGAACTAAACCTTCGCGGGATCGAATTGGCTGTTCGGCAGTCATACGCACCGCGGCCCGCTTGCGGTCAGACGAATCAGGGCCCTACCCGGCCGCCGTAGCTACCTTCCTGTAGTGGGCGGGGCCGAGGCCGGGGTCACCCCGCCGGAGCCACCTCTGCCAGCAACATGTTCAAGGTGAGAGCGTGGAGCCGGGTCACAGCTGTCACCGCCCCCTCCGGTCCTCACGGAGCCCAACTCGCGCTCTTGTGGGATTTCCCGGGGGCCAGGCCCGGTTCGCCCCGAGGCTTTTCCCGCCTCCGGGCCGGGTGCGTCCGGACCCCGCGGTTCATTCACTGAGCCGCTAGGAGAGGGAGGTTGCCGGGCGGAGGCGTGAGATCCCAGGGTGGGTAGGCGGGTCCTGTGGGTCTTGCTCTCGTGAATAAAACACTTTGAAAAGTTAAAGTACCTCCCAAAGTACTCACCCACCCCACCCCCGGATGGTTACCTATTGGGTTCGTGGGTAAGGAGAGGCCAGCTCAGGGCACTGCAGGGTTCGGCTTCGGTTGCCTGGCAGGGTCAGGTTTCAGAACCTGGTGTGTGAATGGGGGGAGGGTCACCTTTGGAGAAGCTGTTGTAGGATTTGGGGAAGCTGGTATGGAATGGTTGGAAGGATGGGCAGCTGGAACTTAGTTCCCCTTCCAGGTGAACATTATTTAATATGGACAAGTCGACCCCCTTTACATTTGACGAAGTTATGTCTTTTGAAAGAAATCGCTTTTCAGAGTGAAGGCTTTGTTTCGAAAATCTGATTTTGACCTGAGGCCATTATTCTACTACTTAAAAAAAAAAAAAAAGTAAATGCTGGTTCTTATCATGAGAAATCACAAGTAACCAGAAATTAGTCTACAAAATTGAGTTTTAAAGAAACATAGCACCCATAAAATAGTGCTAATGAAACCTCAAAATTGTACTACTTGTTTGAAAGTTTAATAGTGCTTCTGCAGTGTGCTTTGGGCACATTAGGACAGGCTATAAAATCAGAACGTAGATTCGGCCTTACAGTGCTGGCATTGCCACTTTCTAGCTGGGTGACCTTGGGCACATTACTTAATTTTGTGCCTATTTTCCTATCTATGAAATTGTGGGACTAGCATATACTTAATAGGGTTGTTATAAAGACTAAGTAAGTAAGTGTAAAGCACTTGGAAGAGCCCTTGGCATATAGGAGTGCCGTCTAAGTATTTGCTTTTATTTTGTTTTCAGGCTGCTCACAGTTTAGTTACCAGGACAGATCCATAAGCAACTTGGATTCATTGGATAAATTTGTGTCAAACAGCTATTATGTGCTAGGAGCTCAGCTCAGTTTTAGGGTTGCAACACCAAAGGATATGCTATGATCAGTTTATATGGGTGTCAGTGATGCACTGTGGTAGTAGAAAGGGGAGCAGGATCTCCTCTGCCTCAGGGATTCCCCTCTACACTGGGGGCTCTTGACCTGTGGTCTTCAACCTCTCGGAGGGTCTGTAGATAAAATCCAGGGGAGTCCCTAAACCCTGATGGGGGGAAAAATCTTTATTTTCACCATCTGCAACTGAAATGTAACATTTCCTTTAGTTACGAGTGTAGTGTAGGTAACTGTTCTAGTTAGCTATTGGTGGGTAACAAGCCAGTGCGAACCAGTGCCTTCAAACTACAATAATTTATTATTTCTCGCCATCAGGGGGTTGCCTGGGCAGTTCTGCTGGCATCTCCCAATGGCTGAATTCAGCTGGTGCTTGGACTATAAGTTGGCCTTACTATCATGTATGGGGGCTTGGTGCCCCTCATTGTGCCTACCTTGGGCTTCCTCACATGGTGACTGGGTTCCAAGAGGGTAAGTCCGATTGTGCAAACGCTTACGTGCTTGCATCACATTTGCTGATGTCAAAACAAGTCACGTGGCCAAGCCAGAGTCAGTATGGGGACACTACACAAGAGCATGGATATGAGGAGGTTCATTGGAAGCAATTAATTTAATAAGCTGGTATAACAAGAAATCACAGTAATATTAGCAGTACCTGTCATCAGTAGGACTCACAGGACCAATAGATGTCATGGATGTTTTTATATCACGGTTGCTGCAGAACTCAAGATATCATTTATGGTCATTACTACTTCAAAATTCTGGTAGTTATAAGACTCACTGTTAGGTCCTTTTATTTAATAAGGTAAGGAATATGTATTACTATATCACATTTTGAATTTTAAAAATGTTTTTATAACTATTGAAGTACAGTTAACATTTTATGCAGTTAGAAGCATTAATTTGAAAAGGGGTCCATAAGGTCTATGATGCAAAAAAGGCAAAGAACCCCTGGGAACTTAAGGGGAGACTTCACAGAGGAGACATTTACATTTAGTTTTGAAAGACAGGTAGGAGTCCCTCAGGTGGATGAGCTGGGGTACTCCTTTGGGGGAAGTGCTAGTATAGCTCAGTTTCAATTATTCAAATATGTAGTTTGAGTAGAAAAGATCACAACAAACCTTGGCAGACACCAAAATGTAAGGAATAAGCAGAGGAAGAGGGGAGGCCAGAGATGTTCTAGAAGCAGCTTCTGGTAAGTAGGTGTACAAAAGGGTGATGTTTAGAAAATCAAGGGAAGATGGTTCAAGGAGGGCAGGCTATGTTAGGATGCTTTCAGCTGGGAAAACACGGTTACTTAAATAGTAAGAATTCTCTCACAAAGTCTAGAGGAAGGGTGGACTCCAGTAGGTCAGCAGTGTTATTAAGGACCTGGTCTCTTTTCTTGGCTTTCCATGATAAGATTGGTTCCCCTTATGGTTAAGCATGACTGGCAGTAGTAACACATGCTTTCTCATTCACTAGAGCAGGGGAGAGGACAAAACTCCCACGCTTGGATTATGCTTTTCCTTCAATCTGATTGGACCAATTTAGGTCACATGTCCGCCCCTGACCTGATAGCCAGTGCCAGGGGAATGCCATGCTCTGATTGGCTTGGATTAAACAGGATCAGGAAGGGATGGAGTTAGTTTATCTTAATCACGTGGGAGAGAAATGAATTTAACACAGTGGGGAATGGAGTTTGGATGTGTGCCCAACAGTGTCCGTTACAGTGAGATAAGTTAGATGAATTTAGAGAAGTGTTTGTTAATTTGGGCAATTTGGAAAGCTTTCATGACTTTTATAGATGTGGGTTACTGATGGAAATGAAAGCTATGTTAATATGGGTTGGTGATTGAGACATGAGTAAATGGACACAGTGGTGGGGTTGATAAATTTGATTTTCTCCTTCAAACAAAGGAGAGAATATGGTAACTAGAGAGACATGTTGGTCAAGATAGTAGAGTTGTTTTTGCAGTTGTTCCAGTATTCAAGATTCGGTAGTGTTTATGGTCTTAGGGAGGAATATAGGAAGGGGGCTTTCATTTTTGTTATTTTCATTTTTTATTAACATATAATGTATTATTTGCCCCAGGGGTACAGGTCTGTGAATCGCCAGGTTTACACACTTCACAGCACTCACCATAGCACATACCCTCCCCAATGTCCATCACCCAGCCGCCCTCTCCCTACCCCCCCGCCCGCCAGCAACCCTCAGTTTGTTTCGTGAGATTAAGAGTCTCTTATGGTTTGTCTCTCTCCCGATCCCATCTCGTTTCATTTTTTTGGAAGGGGGCTTTTAGAAGAGAAAATCCCTCAGCTTCAAAAAGGAGGAAAGATGTTACCTGCCTTCTGTGAGCTGGAAAGAAAAGGTTGGGAGTAATGGTAGACTAGTGGTTCTCAACCAGACAGTACCAGCCATTTGGGGTACATTTTGGAAACTTGGATTGTTCTGCATGTCTTTAGTTGTGTTGAACAGTTATATTCTGAAATATAATTCTTACTGTAAATCTTTTCCTTTTGTTCTCCATCATGTTACCATCAAATCAGTATACTGGTCTCTTTTTTTGGTCTTACATGTGTTGATGGGTGATAAATTTTTATTTCAAGATAGCAAACTTAGAAGATTTGTCATGAAATAGTGTTAGGTGTAGTAGTTTAAAAAGTTGAGAACCAGTGCTTCTCAAACTTTAAAATACATGGACTCTGTTCCGGCAGGTCTGGGGTGGGGCCTCAGGGTGTCCATTTTTTTTTTAAAGCAAGCTCCTGGATGATACAGATGCTGCTGGTCCCCCATCATACTTTGAATAGCAAGAACCGAAGCAGATTGGTAGATGAATGGCTTCTTGTGTTTTTAAAAGGTGTTTGATTTTATGAGTGTGGTGGGATTTGCAAGAGGTACTGACCAAAGGAAGAAAAGGTCAGTGAGGGGCTTTGAGGACTCTTCTGAGAGCTGCTTCGAGAGGTCTATCATGACTGCCTCCTGGAAATGGGGACAAGCAAATGGTAGGATTGATGTGGGTTTAAGAGTCATCAGCTTGGGGTGGAAAGGAATTGATAATATAGGTGTTGGTGGAAAAAGTACCGTGTGTGACTAGTATGTGCATATACAATTACAATATTTAAACTGGAACCATTGTTTTGACTTATCCATCTTCAGGTCAGTAGGGGGCACTGGCGGATTAAAAAACACATTTGAAAAGCTGCCCAGTCCATATTTGCACACTCACTATTCCAGGAAGTTTTTCTAGGTGCTGCTGCTAGAATTGAATATATATACCCAGTCTCCAGATTCCTGTTACTAGATTCCATTCATTATGCAAATGTTTATCATAGTCCAGCTGTGACTGAGCACTGTGCTACACCCTCGTGGGTACAAATAAAAAGTCCTAGTTCTTACCCAGGAGAGAGTCCCCAGATTTGGCCGCATGCCAGAATTATTCAAGAGGCATTTTCCAGGGCCCTGCCCATGGGTCTGATTTCCTTTTTATGTGAGGTCCAGGTACCTCTGGTTTTGAACCAGCCCGCCCCCCCAGGTGACCGAAACTTGCGGTTAGTGGCGCAGAAATGGCCCATGCTGATGCAGTGTGGTAAGTGCTCTGATGTCAAAGCTGTGGAAAGTTGGGTAGATTGGGTCACAACTTTGGCTACACATTAGAATCACCTAGTGAGCAAGTCCTGCTGCGCAGGCTGTGCCCAGGTCAGTGCGGTCGGAATCTTTAGGACTGGGGTGTAAGCATCCAGTTTGTAGTGTAGCCGCCCTTGAGAACTAGTGATTTAGAGGAGCGAGCACCAGCAGGGGGCATCAGGAGAC